TCTCGAGCATTTGCCACTCCTAAGAAGCCACACTCGCCTAGACTCCCCATGACTTCTTGCTGAGTGTATCATCCACCACATTTGCCTTAACGAGATGGTAATGCAAAGTGAAGTTGTAGTCCTCTAGAAACTCCATCCACCTGCATTGCCTCATATTGAGGTCCCGCTGTTTAAAGATATACTTCAGACTTTTGTGGTCCAAAAACACCTCAAACTGTTCACCGTATAAATAGTGGCGCCAAGCCTTCAAGGCAAAGGCAATAGCCGCCAACTCCATGTCATGTGTCCATATTCCGGAAGGTTAGAATGAATCTTCCAGAAGGTTTCACCCACTGTCCAACATTTTTCCTTGTCTGTCCAAAACTTTTGGAAGGTTTTGCCCAGAATTGTTTGTTTCACCTATTTTTCATTTCCATTTCATTTCAAACCTTCTCACAAATATCCCAAACATGTACAATATAGTTTTCTACATTATACATGATCCATACAAGTTCTATTACAATTAATTCCATATGATTACAAGCCCATGTACACAATTACATGCTCAAAATAGAATTTTACAAAAATTTTACAAAAGCTTGCTTTCAAAAGCCACAAACTAGCTTTTCTTCATCGTTGAGGCCCCGAATGTGAGTCCTCCACCGATACAAATCCCACACCTAAAATATTTCCCGTGTAGGGTGAGCCAATGCCCAGTAGAATGTTTGCTACAGAGGCTACTCCCCAAACTAAGTGCATATACAATGTTCACCTGCAACATTTAACAACAACAATCATTTCAACCTACACTTAAACAAGTCAAGGTTGGAATTCAGCCTACCATGCCATGAATTGAGATGATGCCCATTCATGCAATTTACCCGAGCCCTTCCCGGCTCCACAACACATGTAATGCCAATGTGTATAAAATCGAGCTTTTCTAGTTCCGGCCGTTTACCTTCACCCCATGCTATACAGTGAGTATTAAAATCAGATTTTCCAAGCCCCCACCATTTAGTATTACACACCCAATGACTATTTAAAATCTCCGGGTCTTCTTTGGGGTGGGTATTTATGGATTTACACTAACGGTCACCCAATCGACATGAAATTCATGGACTTCCACCAACGATTTCGCATACACCGACACACTTTATGGGCTCTTATACCAACGAAAGTGCGTATCCGAACACCGGGCCTCTCACGTGAGGGATAGTCTAACCCTTCTTGTTAACTTCGACCCAATTCCTTTTTATGCAACCGTGCGACTCAACTGGATGTTCAATCCAACTTTCGGAGTCCACCCATCATCCACCTACGTGGTGTTTGATGCGAACCATGTACCCATACCCATAAAATGCGATGTCTTCGTGCGTATGCAATGTAATGCATCATTGCTGTTTCAACATCATGCCCTCATGTAATGAATGTCATATGAGCAATTTTAAACCACATGTTTACATGTTCCATGGAAATTCATATCATAAGCATATAAATTTTATAAATCGTCACAATGTCAATATCTCAACGAGCACATATTAACATTCTCTTTCAACACATTTTTCTAAGCATGTTATGCATCGTTATGTCATAACAACTTGATTCACACATAACCATTTGGCAAACACCATCGAAGCAACAATTCATGTTATCACACAAGAATTTTCACCATTCACAAAGCCTGATATAAAACATATAGCATGCCCACATAACACCCATTTTCCATAGAATTACACAATAATTGCAACTCACCAATTCCAATCTAGGAATTTTACTTAATTTAGATCAAATTCACATACCCAATTCACCAATCACCCAATTCCATCAATTTCACAACCATAGACAAGTGATATATATAGCTATCCATCTACCAATTACATATAACCCATTACATATAACACCTGAGGTTGTAAAATAAATCCAAGTAGGAAAGAACTCTACCTCTTGAAGCGTAAAACGACGTTGAAAAGCTCCAAGAACCCAAAACAATCTTGAATCCTCACTTCTCCAAAATCTCTTTTTTCAACCTTCGGTGAAACTTGTCATTTTTGGTGTTGTCGCGTATTTCTCGGCAAGGAGAATGACTTTTATTCTTGGCTCAAGCAGATCCGAGCACTGTGGAGTTGTAGATCGCAGAGAGAAGTTGAAAGAACTCTTTCTTTTCCCTCCCTTCTCTATCAGCTAACAGCTGGGCATAAGAATGGGGGAAAAATATGATTTTCCCCCCATATTTTTTCCCTATTTATATTCCTCTATGCTTGGCCCACAACGTGCCACACAGTCCTATTTTTTTAGGGTCCGTTTTCATCCCGAAACGATTAAATTTCGTCCCGGTTTAAGTTCAGAATATTTTTATTTTAAATTAAATTTAATTATTTCCCAAATTTTAAAATTTTATCCAAAAATCTCGTTTTTGGGTCATCCGAGATTCGATCGCCTCGTAAAACGTAAAAAATTCGACTATCTCGAAATTCGATGAAATTTGACGTGATAACTAGATTTTGCGAGACGAATGTAACGGTGAGATTCGTTTCGTCATCTGAGATGTAGAAAAATTCAAATTTTCAACCCGTCTTGTAGCGGCAAAATTACCGTTTTGTCATTGTTTACAAAAGTTTAAATTTATCGGGATTTACAAATTAATTGTTTTCGTACATCGTACTTCTCTATCATTGGTATCGAATTACTTTTTTGGTCATTCCGATTGCCTTGGAAAGGGAGCCAATAACTGGGAGTCAACTCTGCCCTCAAGCTGTAATGCTTAGAGGCTGCTTTATCTTGACCACGAATGTGTTTGCTTTTGTCAATCACTTCTATCTTCGAATTCATAATTTGTCCTCTTGGATGGTCACCGATGCCGAGGTGAGTCATCATCGAGTGCCGAAGGTCTCCCATGTTGAGGATTGTACTCGTTGCTGTACGACGTGAGGTATGATACCGAGGAGGGTTTGTCTGCTATGCTGTGGACTATACTCCTCTCATGCCGACGTGAAGCTTGATGCTGAGGCGTGGTCCTACGCCAAGGACTGTACTCACGACGCGTGTCGCTCCCTCACTAGTTGTCAGGATCACAAACCTAACTGGTAAATTCTAACAAATCCAATCTTATGGTCATCAATCACCCTAATGAACTCATGCCAATCCCAATGAATCTCTCGGATTAGAGGCTCTATTGTAGGAAAAAATATTGGGCGTAACATTGACACCACGTTCTCGTTGCTATGTGATGTCACCACCCAATAAAAAACATACAAATAAGTAGGTGGATCCTACATATTTTAGTAACCACCCTACCATGTCATTTAATAACCACTGAAGTGGTGTTCGGTTTGTCCATTTGTAAGTTTATTATTGGAAGGCAACACCACATTTCAATGATGACGTGGTGTCACTGTTACACCCAATATTTACTCCTATCCTAGAACTAAACTAGCTTGACTCATGTGACTCAAAAACTTTTATCAATTAAAATTACGACCCTAAACATATTTGAATTTGTGTAATTTAATGCCTCAACAAATAGAGAAGGGGGGTTAGTGAATTTTCAAACATTATATATGTCCTTGAAGAGGGGATAATCTACTAAGAGTGTAGACGAGTCTTTTCCAGAAAAAAATATTGCATAATGAAACAAAATTGCTTTCCATATGGCAATTGCACAAAATTGAACACAATTGATTTAGAAAATATATTTATGCCAATGTGATTCTATGGACACATTGGCATAAATATGTTTATGGTCATACATATATACCTATACATAAATATTTTGTGGAAGTTAAGGGACGTTGAAAATGATAATTAGAAAGATTTTATAGAAGATGTGAGAAGTTGAATGAGTGGTTAATTATATCATTTGGAAGATTTCAATTACAGAAAATCTCATTTTATAGGCTTCATAAAATTAAGATTTGAATTTTAGAAAAAAAGACTGATAGGCGCAATCAATGCAATGCCTTCCAAGGCCTCTCTCCCAGCCAATTTCTTTGATATGATATTATAGAAAAATCTTCCCACAAATTTATTAGCTAAATACTTGAATTTGTATACAAGTATGACACCATAAAATATTTGATTGAGTACCTGACTCTTCCAAAAGGGGAAAGTATGTCCTAAAAGATCACACCCAAACAAAACAAAAAGAAAAAGAAAAAGAAAAAGCCAGCCCCAAAGAAAAACTAAACCAACCAATTCCCAGAGAAAACAAGGATTCTTCAAGACGTACTATATATAGCACGATGTCTAGAAGTCTGAATGCTATACTTTCAATTTCATTCGTTTTTAATGTTCTTCTACATATATGTCGTCAACTCTGATGCGATGCTTCGATAGGTACAATAGAAAAATAATAAAAAATTGAAAAGATGAAAAATTAACAAAATAGATAAAAACATTTTACTTAGTAAGAAAAAAAATAAAAAAATGAATAAATTAACTTTCTTTCTAACTCACCAAAATTAATCCATCCAAAATTGAGAGAAAAAATTAATAAAAAATTAATTATTTATGTTAAAATATATGTTATTTGTCTATTATATCATATTTATCAATTACATATCATGTATAGATATAATGATAAAATATGTATTCATATTTAAAAAATTAAAATTAAAATTAAAAATTAAAAAAATAATTATTTCATCTTTATCACATACAAAACAAATCAATCCTTCTTAGTTTTCATCCCTCTTACCAAACATAAAGAAGAGAATGAATGATTCATTCCTAGAAGGATGAAAAATATATCACTATTACTTTCCATCCTTTTATTTTTCGTTCACCCTACCAAACGGATCACGAAGTTTTGAATCGAAGTTTACTACATAAAACAGTGGACCATCAAAGAAAGACAATAGAACCCCAACCTACCTTTCGGTTACATTGTCAATACTTTTGATTTTGCCCGGAAAAGGATCAATTTTGTCAAAAACAAAACCTGAATTATATGAAGCATAATATATGAGTCATACAACATACGTGCATATATGTATTACTGTTTTTGCAATTAAGCTTGGAGGACAGTAACAACTAAAAAAGTGTTATTAAATTATATCCAAGTTAACAAACTTCTGAATTGATTTCTTGAAACTGAAACTGCAATATCTCATAACTAAATGGATGAACAAGATTTCTACCCTACAATAAACATCGTTCACAGTAATCCTACAAGTGACCTACGTGGAAAATCCCCCCTGGGCTAAGGTACAAAATAAATAATGAAAGTACAGAACATAATCGGCCATCATTTACCTCTTCCCCTGCCTTTCCGACTGTATCTGCCCGCTTTCTTTCCTGGCAACTTCACAACCGTGCTGCCAGTAGCCCCTGTCAAGTTGCGTTCTGAAGTTAGCTGAGTCGGTCCTTGTGATAACTCATCATGGCACATGCTAGAACTGTTCTGGGACCCAGTGGTAATGTAATCAGTAGCTTCATTTGCCACAGCCGTTTCATTCACAACTGGGACCTCCATAGAAGCTTCACTTAAGAGCTCACAGGTCTCTTCCACGCGGATGCTCTTAGTCAACTTGTCATGGCTTGCATTAGCGGGATTTGGGTTTTCCTCATCAGATTGCCCACCGTTTTGCTCTGTATCCAAACCTGCAGACAAACTGACCACAAGAAACAGCATGACTTAGGAGCAAGTTACTACGACATAACATTGAAATAAGTGAGATCAGCTACTCTACCTAGACTGTGAAGACGGGAAACCGTTTGCATTTTGTCTGCTTCTGAAGTCGGTCTCTTCTTCCGCTGCGGAACAAATTTTAACAGTTGAGCTTCAGTCTGTATATGCAGTCAGACGGAGATGAGATCATACAAAACCAATATTGACCTCTGTTTGTGAGTAGGCTGGAGAACTTTTTGTGAGCAGTGACAATGCTTTAGATCACAATTGTATCTCTTTTTTTATTTTTTATTTTTCCTTTTCTATGTTTTTTTTTCAAAGGGTTACTCCTCCTTGTAATATTTCTCTTATTTTTAATAAAATTTTTGATGGGAACCCCAATCGGCTTGCTTTGAGACCCAACAACAATATTGAAAAAACAATCTAAGAAAGTCAAACTCAAGTCTATGGATGGAGAATTTAGACCCGTTGAGAACTGAGTAGGCCCACCTTGGTTCCCATCAATTTTCTTTTATTGCTGATAAAAAAAAAAAAAACTTTCAACCTTTCAAAACTAAACATTCAAATTCATCCAAATTTCATCAAACATCAATAACATTTTAAAACATAACTCAAAACTGTCAAAAACTTCCACATATCTTAAGGACTTGGAAAGTATCTTCATCACCAAGCAAATTATCTTCATCATTATTGTATTTATATCTCTCCATGTTTTCCTTATTTGCCTCGTCTAAAACTGACCCTTCCTCATAAGTGCAACTAATTGTCTTGAAAACCTTGATGTTGTCCTTGCAGCCGATGTTGATCTAGTTCACCAGCTACTTTCCCAGCTCTAGAAGGTCAAGCAACACCACACCACATCAAAGATATTTGTTACGTTATTTTGAGTTATATTAGGATATAACCCTTTGATAGAGAACGAAAAGGAATTGGATGAGTTAAAATTGAAAAATTGAATTTTATTATTTGTTTTAGTATTATTTTATTAGTTAAGAAATATTTGTTTGATTAGAAGTATTAATTAGAGTTTGATTATGAAATTATTATAGAGTTTTAGTAGAATAATGATTTGAGAGTTTGATTATGAAACTTTTTTAGTATTTTAGTAGGAAAGTAGTTTTTATTTTAGTAGGGGACTTGGCCTATAAATAATGGTATAATCCCAACTATTTTTAATTAGAAAGAAATTATGAATAAGAATTGAGTATTCTCTATGGAGATTTGTGCGTTTCTTCACCGATTGCTTGCGAGGATGAGGTAAACCCCTTTCACCCCTTCTTCTTTCTTCTCTTTCTATTATGTGATTTCTAATCCTTCGCATTCTACATCAGTTTGGTATCAGAGCAAAAACTTCGATCTATTAATTTCTTGCCAAACTGTTGGAAAAACAACACATCAATTATAATTTTTGTTAACACCAGATTCTTTGTTGTTGTAGCACGTCAATCGTTTTCATCATCATCAATCAGATGGTTTCCAACGCCGAATTAAATGCTAAAGTGGAGGCTTTATTCCAAGCACAAGTTGATTCACAAAAGGCCATGAATGAGAGGATGGATTACTAGAGGCATCCATAACATCACTAAAGGAGGTCATGGAAGCTTATCTCTTAGATAAGAAGGGCAAAGGAGTTGAGAAAAACGTCAATAATAGTCCATCTTCAGTCATCAATCCTTCACAGATACTTATACAAGCCCCTCCACCACGAGCTCCAGTTCAATTGAATGATGAGTTGAAATTAGATACCGTTGATGAGCCTAAAAGTTCTCCTCATCATACATCAATTGCTTTTGATAAGCTGATCTCAAAGGATCTTCTTACAGAAGAAGTTAAAGGAGTTTCAAAAAGTGCCACTACAAATGGAGTTGTTATTTTGTCTCCACTGGATTATATGCTTCCTTCACCTATAATGATGTATGTGGATAATACTATGATGAATGCAATGCACGCAGGATTATTTTCTACTATGGAGATCTACAATGCTATTTTCTTAGAATACAAACTTCTTCAGATTTTTTGAAGTACTTGTGGCCTTCCAACTCTTCGGAGAAGAGTTTTTTCCAGCCAAGAAGAATTGATAGAGAACGAAAAGGGATTGGATGAGCTTAAATTGAAGAATTGAATTTTATTATTTGTTTTAGTATTATTTTATTAATTAAAGAATATTTGTTTGACTAGGAGTACTAATTAGAGTTTGACAAGGAAATTATTATAGAGTTTTAGTAGAATAAGGATTTGAGAGTTTGATTATGAAACTCTTTTAGTATTTTAGTAGAAAAGTAGTTTTTATTTTAGTAGGGGACTTGACCTATAAATAATGGTGTAATCCCAACTATTTTTAATTAGAGAGAGATTATGAATAAGAATTGAACATTCTCTACAGAGATTTGTTTGTTTCTTCACTGATTTCTTGCGAGGATGAGGTAAACCCTGGTCACCCCTTCTTCTTTCTTCTTCTCTTTCTATTATGTGATTTCTAGTCCTTCCCGATCTACATCAATTTGGTATCAGAGCCTAACTTCGATTCGTACAAAAAAAAAAACTCTCAACAGATTTAAAAAATTACAGCAACATCCTAGCTGTTTCAAAAATTACAGAAACATCCTAAAAAATTTCAAAAGTTGCAGAACCACCACCAGAAGTTTCAGAATCTTCCCCCATAAGTTCTAGAATTACAGAATCATCCCTAAAAAATTTCAAAATTTCCTCTTGATTATTATTGTTTCCAACTGAATTAAATGCTAAAGTGGAGGTTTTATCCCAAGCACAAATTGATTCACAAAAGGCCATGAATGCTAGACTAGATACAATTCGAGCATCAATTGATTCACTGAGAGAACTTGTGCTCGCTACTGTTTGTGAAACCAAAACAAGTAAAGATTTTAACTTTGTCTCTTCAACTGTCAATCAAAAAGTGGTTGAATACAGCTCTCTAGTTATACCATAAGTTTCACCACTACAAGTTCTACCACTACAAGTTCCAATCCAATTGAATGACGATAAACCAAAGTTATTCAATGTTGATGAGCCCAAAAGTTCTACTTATACTCATCCTACAACAATTGTTTTTGATAAGTTGATTGCAAAGGGTGTTCCTACAGATGAAATTAAGCAAATTTTAAACGTGATTTTTTTAGATGGGGTTGCTACTTTTTCGTCAACATCTGCACTATCCTTTTATCTGGAACGAAGTGTGAAGGTTATGAAGATTCGAGATATAGATTCCTCCCATTGTGATATCCTATATTTTGTTACTAAAGGGAAATCTTACTTCTATGCTATCGGGTTTGAAGATGTATTTCACCGTCTGATGTCAATTTTTTTGGAGTATTCTTGCTACAACTCTTTGAATAAGAATTTTTTTCAGCCGAGGAGAATTGATAGAGATCGAAAAGGGATTGGATGATTTTAAATTTAAAAATTGAATTTATTATTTGTTTTAGTATTATTTTATTAGTTAGAGAATATTTGTTTGAGTAGGAGTATTAATTAGAATTTGATTAGGGAATTATTATAGAGTTTTAGTAGGATAGGGATTTGAAAGTTTGATTATGAAACTCTTTTAGTATTTTAGTAGGAAAGTAGTTTTTATTTTAGTAGAGGACTTTGCCTATAAATAATGATGTAATCCCAACTATTTTTAATTAGACAGCTTATGAATAAGAATTGAGTATTCTCTGCAGAGATTTTTGTGTTTCTTCACCGATTCCTTGCGAGGATGAGGTAAACCCCTTCCACCTCCCTTCTTTCTTCTCTTTCTATTCTGTAATTTCTAGTCCTTCCTGATCTACATCACCCTTAAATATAATTTTATTACTATTTGATTTTATATATATTTTGGGATGTAACCATGAAACCGTAATACACTGCTCTCTTCCACAGTCTTCTCTCTCTTCCTGTTCTCTCAAGACCTAACGATTTGATAATTTAATTTGGTATCAGAACATCAGCTCAGATTTGAAGCCCTATAGTTGTCAAATATCGCCGGAAATTGTCTGAAATTTTCTGACAAGCTAATGTCATCAACTGACATTCTGACATAAGCGATAAACTTTGTTAGAATTTTTCGAAATTCATAGGGGAGATTCGATTTGGCCATCTAGGAATTATGGTGATTTTCTGAAATTTTTTTGAAGCCATCTAACTAGGTTTTCAGATTTTTGAAGTATTTTTGGGATTTTTTTATGTAAAAACCCATATTGCAATTTCTGTGGATTTTCGTTGTTGTTTTTACTTCGATCCATCTCTGTGACTAGGAGTTATTGATGATGCCCATGCAGTTTTGTTAAGATTGAATGGGATTTATGTAGTTTTTTGGGCCAAAAATCAACTTCGGTAACCTATTTTCTATCTTCTCCTTCGCCATTATGTCTTTTGTCTTTCCTTTAGGTTGCAGCTGCTTCCATAATGTATTAGGCAATTATTGAAGGCATTTTCTTGTTGAGTTTGGTTTTGATTGTGCCATTTTTTGTTCCTGTTAGTACTGGTTTTGCTTTGGCGACCGTGGGAGGTTTTTTCAGAAATTATTTCTGTTTGTTTAACTATTGTGGCTGTTTGACCCTACTGTGTGGACATGTCGGAAGGGAGTGAGACCCCTACCAAAACCATTGGAAGTACGGGAGGAAGTGAGTTGAGTCGTTTGGGTGTTCTTGCGAATAACCCCTCTCTTCAAATTAGTCTAGAAAGATTGGACGGGAACAATTACTTGCCTTGGTCAAGGGCTTGTTTGTTATTTGTTCAGACCATCTACTTGGATGGATATTTTACTAGGGATACTACCAAGCCTACTGAGTCTAGTCCTCCACTGAAGCAGTGGACATCTAAAAATGTCTTAGTTATGTCATGGTTGCTTAATTCCATGCAACCCTCTATCAGTCATGGTTTTCTGTTGCATGATACAACTTATAAGATTTGGACAGCTATAGCACATACATATTCTCAAAAAGACAATCATGCTAAGGCATATGATCATCGGGAAAAAGTCTGGGAAACTAATTAGAAAGATAAGACCCTTGCAGTATACTATGCGAAGTTGACTACCTTGTGGCGGGAGCTTAACCACTACCAGAGATTCCAGGCCGATTGCGTTAAGGATGCTGCAAATGATAGAGAAGGAACGTGTGTATGACTTTCTTGTTGGCCTTCACATTGAATATGATCAGATCTGAGTTCAAATTTTGGGTCGTATCTTATTTCCTACCTTACAAGAGACGTATGCTCATTGTCAGTATGTGGAGAGCTGGAGGATTGCTATGGTTCATATACCTATTCAGGAGCCGTCTGCGTTAATTGTTATTCCTTAGTAGGACTTGAGTTTAACTCAGTCCAGATCTATTGAGTCGGGTGGCACTACAACCAAGGATACATTGAGATATGACTATTGTGGGAAAACTAGACATACTAGGGAGTTCTGCTGGAAGCTAATTGGACGTTCTACGTGTGGGCGAGGTGGTGGCCAAGGGGGCTTTGTGTGATCCCATGCACATATGACTGAATCTTCAAGCCTTCGTCTCAGTCTACTCCCTCCCATTTCTCAAAATGAGATACAGAGTCTTAGGCGC